TATATATATATATATATCCTTCTTCTCTTGGGGGATTTGACATTTTATGACGTTCTCTGCAGCAGCAATCAATTCTACTGGAACTATAGGCTTTGAAGATGTAAATGAATTATTATTTTTATTTTGGAGCATTGGTTTCAATATAAATGATAGGTAATTGGATTTATCTAGAGGATGTTTGATTTGGTGTATTTTGAGTGTTAAGTAAATGCATTAGTTTTGAAATTTCCAGTGTTTGATTAGAAGAAAATTGAATGGAATATATTATTTTGATGAATTACACGCTCCACGCGCTTGTAGTTCTTGCATGTGCAACTAGCAGCCAACAACCTCAATTCTCATTCATCAGCTGGCGATCTCTACTCTTTTCTTACCGACACATGCAACCTCCATACACCATGGTTTCATATCACCTTCAACTAGCTAAACTTACCAAAATCACAACCTAGTCAATGACACCCTTGAACCCGCAATAGCTGATGACATCCTTTTCATTTTGCGATTTTTGTTCGTTGTCACTAATGAACCTACATATCGTTGATAAGTTCCTAGTGTCATGCCCAAAAATACATCAATTTAAAAAATTTTAAAATAAATTGATTCACATTGTACTAATTCAAGCTCTGAAAGCTAACTATTGAATTTATTTTGCAACCAGCCAAATTCCAAAAACTATTTCAAAAATATTGAGTTTATTGTACAGTATATTTAGAATATACCTGTATTCTAAATACTTATTATCAAATAGCCTCCAAGGAAATATGGATAAATATGTTTTTCTTTTGATAATACCTTCTTAATCCTATTGAACAGTAGGAAGAAAGAATATGAGTTTATTGTTGTCACACTTCGTGTCATAAAAAAAATCATTGTTAGTGAATAGTTCGTATTCAGTTCTTTAATAAGCTTATATTTGATTTGTTCGTTAAGTAAGCGAGCCAAATACATTTAAATCTTTATTCTATTTTGTTTAGCTTGTTATTCAATTGAAATATACACATGCATGTTAGGAGTTTTCGGAGATATCTCAGTTTCATGATCTGTATTGGGGCATTTTGATTTTGTGAATTGGTGACAATAGTTTCCTAAATGTAAGTCTAGCTTCATAACAAAGGACACAAATTAAGTGTAAAATTATTATGTGGATGATATCTTGTTGCACAACCTTTCTCAGTTGCATGTCATATCATTATAGCATTTAGAATGAGTACAAAACTACTTTGTGATTGCAAGGACGCAATAGATGGTGCACTTTGGTATTAATGGATCCATTTTAGTGTGCATTATTATTTGTACTTTAGTCTTGCGATGCATGCTTTGGCATTTGGAAGATGTTTCAGTAGAAAAAGGGCTCTGTCATTGGTTAAAGAATTAAGAAATGTGTTGAAACAGATAACCACAAAAAGTGGAAGAGAAAATATTATTTGAGGTTGTGAGGCGCTGCCTTGACAAAAAAGAGCATAAATGAGTGGAAGCATGTGTTAAAAATTTATGAACAAATTCATTGATGTCATGGATTGTAACCCTTTGAGAAACATTTAAATGGATAGTTTTTTTATATGTATGAAATCTTAGTTTATTATCTCAATTGTTTTATTTTCTCTATTATTTCGTTTGAGAGATTATAGGGTTCTCATTCATGGTGGGATTGATTGTATTTGGGTTTGGTGAAAATTGTTTTCTTGTACCTATTTAATTTGTACACTGGTGTTACTTTTCTATTATAGATCATATCATTTATTTGTTCCCATGGACAAAACACATAACTTTTATTGTCCTCTTGTGGTTCTTAATCTCTTTGTTTACTTCATATGCTAATTGTATTCGCTTTTGGTAGATACTTCCACATAGAAATTAAACATTATTCAAGGTATTTTACCTTGAAGTTGTTATTTTTTTAATTTTTTCATAGTTGCCTTGGTATCCTTTCAGAATTTTCTTACTTTATTTTTTCCTCTCTTGTGACTCTTGGATCTCCTTACTATGCCTTGGTTTTGTCACCTTATCTTGGGTTTTGGGCTTGAAATTATGATAAAGAAAAATTTGATGTGGATTGACAGAGATGGGGAAAGAATTTGGCTAACTTGATTGCTAAAAGGAAGGAATAGAAATTAAGGGATGATGAGGAGATATAAGATGCTTTTTTCTTTTTCTCATGCTCTCTCTCGTTCCTATTACTTTGCTTGCTTACCATGCGCTTGGATCAATTTTATGGTCACCTCATATGATGAGGTATTTAAGTGGCTACTCCCTTAATGATATGAACCCCATATTTTGATGTAATTTTTTTCTTGGCTTGTTATAAGCTTATATGAGCTCATAGCATCATGTAGCAAACCTTTGTGGATTTTGTTAGCGTATTTGTAGTGAACCATCACTAATCCACTTTTTAGCTTGGCCACTTAATTAGCTTGACCTTATGTGGGAGGAGACTTCCATATTATTTGGTGCAATTTTTGGAAATCTATCCTTTTGCATTTGAATTCTTTCTCCTCTTTAGCCCACTTGCAACAAAAGGGACTTTTGGCGAAGTACCAATTAAACTAATATGGTTTGTCAAATTATAGGATTTACCAAGTTAAATTAAAAGAAATATTTAGTCTAGTTCATTATAATTGACAATATCATTTATTTAACCTTAAAAGAAGTTATCTTGCTATAATGGTAGTGAATAATGGTTGGCTATATGCTATCTATGTAATAACTGAAAAAAATAAAATAATAAAATTAATTAACATAAATAAAAGAAGAAATTTCGAATCGACGAAAAAGGTTCAATTAATAGTCACAATGGTTTCTTTTTAAAATTTCGGTTTTTCTTTCGAACAACAATGAAGAAATTGGGAGGAGCGCGAGAAATGCAGAGGAGGTGATGGAGAAGAAGAAGAAGAAGAGGAGGAGAAGAAGAAGGAAGAGAAAGACTTTTTTGCATGTGACTAAGCTGAGCGAGGAGACTTCATCGAGCAGGTGAAGGCGATGAAGGAGCTTCGACAATTTCCAAGCGGGAGAAACTGTGAGTTGTGCATAGGAAAAAGTGTTGACGTGAATGGGTGCCGAAGCCAAAGGCTTACATGCATCACATCTAGGTGCAATAAAAGGAGAGGGAAGAATGTTTGGCGTGCAAGAGAATTGTTCCAAGAGATTTTGGCTTAAGAGGAAGGAAAAAGAAACCTGTTGAATGCTCTGCGTGCAAGGGAAGCCCGTGACCTAGTCGAGGGAGAAGAAGAGGAAACAAAAGTGGAGAAGAAGCTTAGTACAACCTTGTTTGAAGGAGAAGAGTGGGGAGGAGAGTCCCATGTGCGGCTTTGTGTGCATGAGAAGAATTTGAGCCTACGTACTAGAAAGGTAAGGACCGAACCCAACATATGTAATAGAAGGTTAGGGTTTGTTTGAGTAGATTTATTTTATATATATTAAACGTGAAATTGTGATTAAGTATTAATGTAATTTACCTTTGATAATTAAACACGGAGTAGAAATGGAAGTAATAGTGGATTAGAAATCAATGAGTTTGGACGACAGTGATGGAGGACCCTAAAGCATTATTGGGTAAACAAATAAGATTTGAGGTGAGTAATTTGTTTATAAATTATAGTAGTATTTCTTATTTCTAAATGTATTTTTATTTCAATTTTTTACACTTTATGTTATATATCATTGAGGCTTAGATTTGAATTAACTATTCATATTGTTCTTTATAAAGCATGCATGTTGACAAATATGTATAAACCATTGCATTATAGTTTTCCTATGAAAAGGTTATATGTCTACATGATATGTACATTCTAGTATAGGATATATCAATTTATTTTGTGACTTATAGATTTAGTAAGATTGCATTTATTCATCAGTTAATAGAAGTAAAGTTTTTCATAAGAAAAAAAACATATGATATGAAGAATGAAATAGTGTTTATATATGAATGCTTGTGTATGCTTGCAAAAGGGAGGAGTTCACCCCCTTATGGTATAGATATGTGATACCAATGTATCTGCGTGTGTAGATAGTTGTCTTATCATCTCAAATAATAGTGAAACATAGATCACAAACTAATGACGGGAGTGTATCGATCAGGGATGAGTTGCCATCTTACCACGTTAGACAATTATGAAATTAGATCACTTACCAATATGCTTACTAGATAATATCGACTAGGTGTGAGTAGATACATTTACACCTCATACAATAATAAATATATTCTACTAATCACTTTGTCGACAGGAGAATATTAGTCAGATGTGTTCTAGGTTATGCTTTGACGATGCTCCTATGACGGATGTGAAAGTTAAGAATATGAAATATGTTAAAGGTTAAGAGATTACACTTTGAAAAGTAATGGAAACGAGAATGCATGTAGAAATTCTAGATTTCTTCAATGTGCAAAAATTAAGTATGGATGCTATAAATTATTATAGGATTTTCTAAAATATATTAGTAGAGAGCACAATACATATTGATTTGTTTTCCTTGGGTTTCTGTAGTATTGAAGTGTGATTGCCTCTGAGTTATCTTAGATAATTCATTATGTTATTTTCTTTTTTTTTTTAGATTTAAGCTTTTGAATAAGATGAATACTAGAAGAGATTTTTTGTACATAAGGCGACGTCAACAACCTGAAATGTAAAATTTTTATTTGTTAATTAATTTGCTTTATTTTAATGGCTCTTTCAATTAATATGTGGATATTAAACTGTTATTGATATAAATATAATAGTAGAAAACTTAATTTTACCCCCCAAACGTCTATTCCCGTCTTGGTTCCAAGCTCCAGGCCGGTTCTCGACAATCTAACCTTCTAGGAATGATTTGACGATAAATTTTCTGTTTTTTTTTACTACATATAACCAAGTGTCTGGGTATGCTGATGTTTTAGTTCTGCTATTTTTATCGCAAAAATCACAATCACTAATTATATAGAGAATTTCCAAGTAATGACATTCATAGTGGCTATAACAAATATTATCTTGAACATACCAGAAAGTTTACAATTATAGAATTTTGATAAGTGGTTCTCTATAACAAAATTTTATAATGGTAAGGTGTTTTACTATCTTTGTGTGTAAAACATTATTTTTCTTGGCTTTTGTAGATCACTGGAAATCTCCTTCACCTATGTCATTTTATATGCTTTAAATCCTATTAAAACTCTTGATTTCCACTAATGATGTTTTCACAGATAGCAGACCAAAACTTCAGCAGAAGGTTATACTGGTCACATTGATGGTAGGCCACGAGAAGCAAGGATGAACCATCCCAAGGGACTAACAGTGGACAATAGAGGAAATATTTATATTGCAGACTCGTTGAATATGGCAATTAGAAAAGTTAGTGACATTGGTATGCTAATAGAATCCATATTGTAGTTATTTCTTGCCGGTTTTTGTTTCTCTCGTTCTCCTGCAACTTTTATTTTGCTTCATTCCTTACACTTGAAGAATCATGTTTCCAGGATTTTATAAATGTCACAATTTACAAGTCTGATGCTGGACATGATATGAGCTAGAATCAAGTTACAAATATTTATGTTATTGATATTACCTGGATCTCAAAGAACTCTACTTAGCATTGTATGAATCTTAAAGCACTTCAAAAGCGATTGAATTTTGATCAATTTTCACATCTGTCAACCCCCATTTGTCAATTTCCCTTCTATCACTTCCTCTCTTTTGCCTCTAATTGAGTGTCACAGTCTCGGTCAATAATAGACTAGTTAAATGCATCCTTGCCTCTCTAGATTTGTTCTCACCAAGGCCGATTACTCTGCCTACTTTGCCTTTCCCATTCCTTGATCTTTTGTTTTTCTCTTTTATCAGTGCCAAGAGCGTATGACACCCTTATCCTTGGCTTTAATGGGCTTCCAGTGACACCATAACTACAATAGGCCTTATCACCTCACACCTCTCTTGTTTCTTTAGATTACACTCAATCACCTTTCACAGCGGATGGATTTTGACCTTATTCTATCTCCTTCACACAAATGATCCAGGTTGCCCTAACATAGTTAGCTTGCATGACTTGCATTGGTGCTCACGAAGCTAGATCAAGGAGGCTACGCATCACGTTAAAAATTCAATAAGAAAGTTTATCTACATCTCGTTCACCCCACGTGCTAATTCAGTCCATCAAGGATGGTTTGCTGCAAACCATGGGATAACGGGAGTTAACTGGGGGTGTAAATGAGCCGAACTTGTGAGAGCCTAGTACTTGTTCGTGTTTGGCTTCTTCAAATTCTTTTTTGTTTGAAATAGACTTATGTTCAAAATGTTTGGTTAAATTATTGTTTTATCATTCCTAATTATTATTTTCTCTTCCCTGATTATCGTTTACTCAAAAGATATTCAAAATATTGAGCATAAAAGGACTCATTTGAATGATTTTGATGATATTGCCACAATTGGTGAAGTCCATTTTAAAAAATAATGACTTCTTGAAAAATTTTTACGTAAGATCATTTTCACGCATAGGAATCATAAGTGCACAGCTTTACGTAAAATTTGTTTCAATTAATGACTCATTTGCTTGGTTTCTAATATTGGTAATAAGTCTCATGCAACTTTTAAAATGAGGTTTTGAGCCTTAAAATAACCTCGAGAGAGAAATCAATAATTCCAGAGTTTAGTCAACATTGAGCTCATGTGAAATCTAACCAAGTCTCAGTCAATGGAAAATATGGTTGACTAAAAATGAGATCAACATTGATGTGAACAAGTATTTGAAGACAATTCAAGATCTGCATTCACCTTTGTTTAAGAGAACAAAGAATCCGATTGAAGCGGGAGAATTGGCTTATGCGAATAGAAAAGATACTAGAAAGCATAGTTTGTTTGGAGGAAAGAAGAGTACTAATAGCAATTGTTGTGCTTGATGGAGAAGCTAAAAGGTGGTGGTGTGGACAACATCATGGTAAGTCAGCGGACGTACCCAAATTGGCAATAGATTAGGAAAATTTTGTGAAGCTTTTTAGAGAGTGATTTGTTCCTTTACCTACTCGTAGGGAGATGCAAGATAAGTTCATTAGATTGGTGCAAGGAGAAGACACTTATGCAGTAGGAGGTGGAGTTCACTACATTATCGAGGTATGCATCATAGTTGATATCTACCGCAGAAGAGAAATATTACAAGTTTCTTCCTAGATTTAAGATTCAATCAGACAACTGTAGATTTCTGTGGGAATTAATGATTACTCGGTGTTAGCGGAGCAAGTCAGACGAGTGGATATTGATTATTAGGTTATTAAGAAGCTTAAGAAGATGCATAAGAGAGATTATGGATAAAAGGTAGCACGTGACTCAATTAGAGGTATACAATGAGAAGAAACCCAAATTCAGTTTAGGTGGATTTAGTAATAGCATGTTTCTTAGTACTATAGTTTATTGTGCCAAATGTGGAAGGTGACATAAGGGTGAATGTTTGATGGTCTTCAATACATGCTAATGGTGTGGTCAACCTGGTCACATAGCTAGATTTTGCTCTACACTTGGCTAGAGGACCTTTGATGAGCAAAAATCAATTGGAACTCCTTTACAAAAGATTGTAGATAGATATAGTCTAGCTTCAGCTCCCGCTCAGAGTCAGTCAAAATAGTTATTTTGACCTCAAGTTTTTGCCCTTACATATAGAGAGCCTGTAGAACATATTGTTGATGATGTTGATGTTGATGCTAATAGAGTTTGATGAGTGTCATATTTTTCTGCAGGACATATGGGTATTCTTCTACTTATCTTGTGAGGTGTATTTCTTTTCTAAGTGTAGTTCTATATGTTCCTTCCTGATAATGGGAAGACTTTCGATCATGGCTAGTCAATAGGTGTTGAATGCTTAATTTATAGTAGCAACAAAGTTAGTGTTTTATATTATAAAATTTATGACTATAAGTTTAAAGCGAATGATGGGGGAAATGATAAAAAGCTTCATTAAGATTCCCCTAATTATGTCATCTTGGGTTATCATGACCCCTTGTCTACTTAGATGAGATGGTATATTTAGTATGACCAAATACTTGAAGCGCGTTTATAATCAAGATAATTTTGCGAAACACTTTTAATTAGAACTTGACATGAGTAATTATAGTCAGGGTAATCTTTCAATCGAACAATATTATTCTGGCTTTTTAAATTTATGGAGCGAATATACTGGTATTATCTATGCTAAAGTGTCAAAGGAGAATTTAGCTAGTCTTCAAGCTATTCATGAAGAAAGTCGTCGTAATCAATTTTTAATGAAACTGAGACCTGAATTTGAAACTGCTCGAGCTGGGTTGCTGAATAGAAATCCGATTCCATGTTTGTATGTTTGTTTTGGGCAATTACTGCGCGAAGAACAAAGATTGACGACACAAGCTACTATCAGTACAACATGTGGATCATCAGAAATAATTAATATGACATATACTGCTAAAACCAAAGGGAAGGGGCCAGTGCAGTGCTACAACTGCAAGAAATTTGGTCATATTACACGAAATTGTGAAAATAATGTATGTAATTATTGCAAGCAAAAGGGACATACTCTTACGGAGTGTCCAACATGACCCCAAAATCGCAAACGACAAGCACTTCATGCCACAATATCCGACAATCCTGCCTTGACTTCTACTGTTGCTGACAATAATCAATCAACTGTCACACCCTATATGGTTCAACAGATGATTCTCTCTGTCTTTTCTGATCTCGACCTTCAAGGGAAAGGTAAAACTATTTCTTCGGTTACTTCTCATTGGTTTGTTGATTTAGGCGCCACAAATCATATGACTAGCACTGCTGAGTTATTGCATAAACAACGACCGTACACTGGTACTCAACATATTCAGGTTGCTAATGAAAATAATATTCAAATTACAACAGTTGGTGATATTAACTCATCCTTCAAACATGTTTTGGTTTCTCATAAATTATCTACTAACTTACTCTCTGTTGGTCAAATTGTGGATAATAACTGTGAAGTACATTTTTCTCGTGATTGTTGTATTGTGCAGGATCAGGTGTCGGGGAAGGTGATAGCAAAGGGGCCTAAAGTGGCCAGACTGTTTCCTTTACAATTTACTGTTCCTCAGAATATTTCATTAGCATCTTCAGTTGTTGAGAATAAGGCAGACATCTGACATAAAAGACTAGGTCATCCAAATGATATGGTGTTGAAACATTTACATAAAAGTGATGTTTTTTATTCTACAGATAAGAATTTTGTAGTTGACTGTTCTGTTTGTAAACTTGGAAAAAGTAAGACATTACCTTTTCCTATTTCAGACAGTCGTGCCAATAATGTTTTGACATTATTCATAGTGATGTTTGAAGAATTACATCAGTTATCACATGCTCAATATAAATATTTTATGACATTTATTGATGATTATAAATGATTTACTTGGATCTATTTTTTGAGTTCCAAAAAAGAAGTATTTACTGTATTCTAAACATTTTTAGTATATGTTGAAACTCAGTTTTCCGCTCACATTAAAACCTTACGATTTGACAATGACGGTGAATACATGTCTTATGAGTTTTAAGCATTTCTCCAGAACAAAGGGATTGTGTCACAACGTTCATGTCCTTATACACCGTAGCAAAATGAAGTTGCTGAACGAAAAAATCGAAATCTATTGGATACCGTGCGCACATTACTAATAAAATCTTCTGTTCCAACTAAATTTTGGACTGAAGCTTTATCTACTGCAGTTTATATCACAATTGAAGTATGAGTCTCCCTACTATCAAATTCTTTATAAACACCCTAATTATCATATGTTACATACTTTCGGATGGGTTTGCTTTGTTCATCTACCTGCTCATGAACGTCATAAATTGGCAGCTCAGTCAGTACGATATGCCTTTATGGAGTACAATCCTAATCATAAAGGTTTTGTTTGTTATGATTCGGTTAATAGTCGATGACATATTTCTCAAAATGTGATTTTCTTTGAACATGAATATTACTTTCAGCATCATGTGTCCACATCAGATACAATTATACTTCCACAATTTGATAATTAATCTGTTGATAAACAAAAGCCATACATTGTCTAGACACGACGCCTGCCCCCTTCACCTTCAATCCTCCCCGGCCCTGATCCAGAAATTGCTCCAATAAGTATTTGACGATCAACCCTACGTATCCGTTCTCCAGATATATATGAGTATTCTGCAATTTTAACTAATACTACTGTTCCTACCTCTTTCAAGCTGCCAAACAGACTTGCTGGGTCAAAGCCATGAAAGAGGAACTTCAAACACGTCAAGACAATTACACTTGGGATATTGTTTCATGTCCTGCAGGTGTTAAACCCATTGGTTGTAAATGAGTTTATTCTCTTAAACTCCGATCTGATGACTCTCTTGACAGAT